TGGAAATCCCAAGAACTTCATGGATAACGTTGACACTAAGAGTGAGGAAAGACCGCTCCTACCTGGAGTTGTTGTTTCTGACAGTCTTGGCATTTCCAAATGCTTCAAGCAGCGGATTTGACTGCACAGACACAGCACAGCGACAAATCATCAAGGCCAGAAGCAGCAACAGTCACTTTAGCATGAATGAAACCTCTGTGAAACCTCACAGCACGTAACTCCATCAGTTAGAGCATCCACGGATCTTTCCTCTGTGGCCCGCCCTCCCATGCATGCCAGATACTGCATGAGCAGCTTCGTGGTCTCTGTCTCTTACCAGCACACTCCCCTGCCTTCCCTCCTGCATGCCCAGGGTTTCGGGTACCTCCAAGCACGTACCTCAAGCACTTGAGCCTCGACCGATCGCCCCTCTGTGGCGCGCCCGCCCATGTACGCAAGGTACTGCATGAGCAGCTTCGTGGTCTCCGTCTTGCCAGCACCGCTCTCTCCACTCACGAGAATCGACTGGCTCAGCTTGTAGTCCACCATCGCCCTGCCATTGGCGACATGGGGTTACCAGGTAACATGGTGGGATGGTGGGGGGAGGGTGGCATGGTTATGAGGATCGACTGGCTCAGGCGTGACCAGTGGTACTGCTCCATCGCACATCGTACAGGTGGGGCAGCCCCGACCTCCACACACACATGGAGGCACACACACATGTATGGACGCTCAGACGCACATGGAAGCACACGCATGCACGGACCTGAAGGAGGTTTCAGCGATGGCGAACACGTGGGGGCTCAGCTCGCCGAGGCGCGAGCCCCGGTACTGCTCCATCATGTGCACGTCGTACAGATGAGGCAGCCTCTGGAAGGGGTTCACTGCGATGAGAATGCTGCCCGTGTACGTCTGCCCAGGCACCACCACCAAATAAACACAGGCATGAAATGCACAGAGTAAAAGGGTGCAAGACATGCACGGGGTAGGGAGGTCTGATGGGAGGTAAGAATCGAGTCATGGCGATGCGGATACCGCCTGTGTACTTCTGCCCCCATCGCCCTGACAGGCAGTATCCCGCCGGTTTCACAGCGATGAGAATCCTGCCTCTGCCTCGGCGATGAGAATCCTGCCTGTGTATGGCTGTGCATCACCACCAACACAGCCACGCGCAGCTGAATTGCCCAAGAATGCGGTTGCATTGCACGAAATGCATGGGAGTCGGCAAACTACGTATCTGACAACAGCTTTTGTACATCTCGTCGCGGGACCATCGCATGGCCAGCCTGGCCAGGTTGTGCAGGTCGCACAAGGCTCGTGAAGGTTCGCGAGCTTCGCTTTCGCAAGACAACGCCAGGTGCGGCGACGAGGTGGTAACTCACGTAGATTTCGTCGAGAGCGTATCGCACGGCGAGGTTGTGCAGAACTCCGGGCTCGTGGAGGTACGCGAGCTTCGTCATGTCGTCCACACCACCGCTCGGCGCGTCTGGGTCCTTTGGGTGAATGTGCTTCAGCCGGTACACCGTCTGCACGGACGAACGGCATGGATCAGTACGGTCTACCAGATGACATTGTTAGCATGCTAGCCGTCTGGCGCTAGTCGTAGCACGAATCGACGCAGACGGGTGGATGTGCTTCAGACGGTACACGGTCTGCACGGGCGCACGGACGAACAGCCTGGATCAGTACAGTCTACCAGGTGACACCGTCTCGGGCTGATAACGGTGGATGTGCTTCAGCCAGTGAACCGTTTCCACGGACGAAGAACATTTGGATGCTGGGTCAAGATCATTCCGACGCGTGCAACGAATTGGGTGAGACGGTTAGCATGCTACGAACTAGCACAATACGAACGAACGTGGCACGAAGAGCGTGGTACGAACGAGAGTGATACGATACGCGAAGAACGAGGCAGACAGAATCCATAACAGAAACATTGCTTCGTAGGAATCCGTTTACGCATGGACCTCGCGCGAATCTCATTGCTTCGAAACTCCGAGAATGTTCTACGTGGGACGACTGAGTCGCGTCTGACTGTACGAACCTCCTTATCCCCGACTTTGACCGTTACTTTCTTCTTCTCCACCTTCACCACCTCCCCCTCCACCCATGCTTGGTCCGAGTCCTCGACCCACACGAACGACCCCACGACGACTTTCGCGTCTGCCGTCTGCAGAAACACAAAGCGAAGAAACCGAGAACGGATGACTCGTGGGTGGAATCGTAAGCTTCTGAGCATGTATGCAACAGAAATGCGATGCGGTTTTCTAAGTTTCCTACCATGATGTCCTCCTGTTTCTGACACTTGGCCGCTAGTGGGATCGCACGGATCCGATCAGCATGGCCAGTAAGCGAAAGATTTGGCCTCCTAGGAGATACGAGCCAGGTTTAGGAGGCACCGCTGAAGGTGTGACTACCAGAATCAACTCCCTTAGCTGGACCTAGATTCCTCCTCCCAAATCTCGTGAATCTGTAACTTGTTGGGTTGGTGGCCTGATGAACCAGAATGTGCCTGTGCGATTCATTGAAAGTGACAACTGTGGTTGGCTTCATTACTGCGACCTGAAAAATGTATCGTATCGTAAACCTCCTTTATCGCACACTCTAGACATGTAATGTCTAACAACCGCTCTGCGCCGAAATACAGACTTGAGAAGCATCAACATCGGAAATCTTTGAGCGAAGTGGTCTCTGTTGCTGCTGATTGAGCGATGATGGGTGGAAGGGAAGTGCAAACGAGAGAATTGCTCCAGTGCCTTGTTTGGTGATTCGCTCTTGCCCACGTGTCCCCAAATTGCTCGAGTGGCCATCCAATTCAGTGATAATTGCTCGAGTGGCCACGCCAGGGCATTTTCGAGGTGTTTTTTTTCTCCGTCACATTACCCTACCAGGGTTTGTATCCCCGAAATTCCTCGTTCGCACGAGTTTCATCAAGCGGTAGAGTTTCGTACTATTCCCCACCCAAAAATTTCGGGTGGTTGGCGGGCGCGAACGTGGCCCGACCAACAGTATATGCGCGGCCATTTTTGCCCCAATGCGCGACCAATCAGCGTGCGGGCAAACAAATTCGTAACCAATAAGCGCTCGAGCATATAAATTGCTCGTAACCAATGAGCGCGCGGGCAAATACATCAGCGTTCATAAACTGCAACGCCAGAGCATAAATGCACGAACATATTATTGACCGCGCACGATTGGTCGATAATATGCTTCTTGCCCTTTTTGGCAATGCGCGTCCAATCACACACGGTCATATAATTCACGACCATATATTTAGGCGATAAAGGGTCGCCCAAGTGCCAATATGAGCGCGCATATACTACCATTAGTTCTATCATATTTCCAGTCCATATAAAACTATGTATATCAAATGTCATAAATATATTCTCTGCTATTAATTTAAACCCTTCATAACCTTGGTGGCAGCATATTATGCTGGGCTTAAACTAATATTATGCTGCCGAACATATTATTTCTGCAACCATATTACCAGCAATACAATATTATGGACCACGGTGTCATGGGCTTAAATTAATATTATGGTAGGCCACGATAAAATATTATGTCTATTATGATGGTCTTAAATTAATAGCAGATAATATATTTATGGCATTTGATATATATGGTTTTATATGGACCGGACATATGATAGAAGTAATGGTAATATATGCGCGCTCATATTGGTTTTTGGGCGACCCTTTATCGACTAAATATATGGTCGTGAATTATATGACCGTGCGTGATTGGACGCGCATTGCCAAAAAGGGCAAGAAGCATATTATCGACCAATCGTGCGCGGTCAATAATATGTTCGTGCATTTATGCTCTGGCGTTGCAGTTTATGATCGCTGCTGTAATTGCCCAAGCGCTCATTGGTCGCGCATTGGGCCGAAAATGACCGCGCATCTACTATTGTGCGAACGAGGAATTTCGGGGGTACGAACCCTTGTAGGGTTATGTGCTAGGGAAAAAAAACACCTCGAAAATGCCCTGGCATGGCCACTCGAGCAATTATCACTGAATTGGATGGCCACTCGAGCAATTCGGGGACAAGTGGGCAAGAGCGAATCACCAAACAAGGCACTGGAGCAATTCTCTCAGTGCAAACCGTCGATTTTGATGAGGCTGAGAGCTTGCCACGCTGGCACTGTCAGAATCCCTGCAACATTGCGGCCAACCCACTTTGCTGGTTGGTAATTATGGAGATCGCCGTTACTGGATTGGCAAAAATAATAGCAGGCTAGTGTGTGTCTTTCTTAAAAACATGTGCCGCACTGAATGTGCACTATCTTAAGTGCCTGCCAACACTCATTACTATATCATAGTGAAACAATATGCATATGAAGAACGATTAATATAATTACATTACATTATGTACTGGCAAAAAACTGTTACATGAGTAGCTTATTGTTTACAACCCATTCCGTGTTGAAGCCATGACGGAATGAAAATGGACAAGTTTCCAGGATGGTGGTCGAAGGTGAGTGTAGTGGAAGATGTTAGAATTTGCCGATGTTACCAGATGAAGTTCAGAATTCCGTCGCCAAGCTAAAAAAAAGCAGCTGTCGCAAAGCTGCATCTCATCGCCTCCCGAATTCTCGAAATAAACGAAACTTAGTCTGTCGCCAACTATTTCAAGTCGAGGATTGATGAGAATTTGCCAACACCATTTGACAACTTCGGATTTTGGAAAACAGCCCTGGGATTTTGGAAAATTGCCCTGGGATTCGTACTCTTCACGCCAACCCTCCACCACTTATCGTTTTGTTCCCCTCCCACCCAATCTCTCTCGGAGAGGGATCTCGAGGCTTTCTCCCACTCTTTCCTACTCGTCTGCTGAGGCTACTCACAAGGCAAACGACCGTCAAAGGTACTATTCAGTAAGTATTCAAGAAAGCGATTTCTTTAGGGCCTAAGGCACTCGCGCCTAAGCGCTGGCTCATGGCGCTCGTGCATTAGACGAAATAGCCCAGGGCAGTCGCCTAGGGGCGCTCTCGCCTTAGGCGCTGGACCCTAGGCCGATGGACCCTAGGCCGATGGCGCCTAGGCCGCTGGCCCCTAGGGCGGTTAGTGCCAAGGGCGTTTGCGGCACTCGCGCCATAGGCGTCAGCGCCGTGGGCGCTAGCATGTAAGCCGCGGGCGTCGTTGAGAGTGGGAGACAAGGCGTGGATGGTGCTATCACTCGCTCTCTCACAATCCCCACGCACATATCTCCCCGCTTCTCCCCCGATCCCTCCGCCGCTCTCCCCTTCTCCCCCGATCCCTCCGCCGCTCTCCCCTTCTCCTCCCTTCTCCTCCCCTCCCTCCTCCACTCTCCCCTTCCCCCCCTTTTCTCCCACAAAACAACCAGGTGGGCAAGACGCAGGTGCTCCTGAGAGCAGGCTTTTGATTTGACTCAAAAAAAACTTGCTCGTTCTCAATCCTCCCCACACACATCCTGCCCCCCTGTAACTCAGGTGGGCAAGGCGCAGGTGTTTCTGAGGGCGGGGCAGATGGTGGATCTGAATGCCATGAGGGCGGAGAAGCTGGGGGAGGCCGCCAAGGTCATCCAGAGGTCGATTCAAAAGGTAAGTCAAGAGGTGGCTTTTGACTTTGAGTCGACTTAAATGGAGCAGGGGTGCCACCTGGAGCTCCAGAAGCTCAATCAAGCACGTGAGTTTGGCTGGCTAGAAGTGAATCGACTCCAAAGGTGGCTTATGGCTTTTGAGTCGATCCAAACAAGGCAGGGGTGCCCGCCTGCAGCTCAAGAAGATCAAGCACGTGAGTATGGCTGAATGAATGATGCTGCATGCGAATTGGATGGATCATAAATGCTGCTGGGGTGGGTGCTGCTGGGGTGGGTGCTGCTGGGGTGGGTGCTGCCACTTCTTGTTTTTTTACTGGGAGGGCCTGTACACACCGTGAATGCTATCATCAACAGCTGGTGCTAGAGCTGGTGAAGAGAGGTTTGTCTTGCACCTCACCACTCTTTATCGCTCTCCACCACTCATTTCCGTTCTGAAACCCCTTTTTACCACCCCCTCTCCCCCCACAACATGTGGACGTGGAGGAGGCAAAGACAGCAGAGATCCAAAAACTGCAGCAGGAGCTGGAGGGTGGAGAAAGCCCTTGCAATCCTTGCCTTGCTCCTCACCGCTCTGCACCATTCATCATCACTCAATCTCGTTGCCAACCCCCCTCCCTCCCATCAGCTGGACGTGGAGGAGGCGAAGACAGCAGAGATCCAGAAGCTGCAGCAGGATCTGGAGGGAGCAATGAGGAAGGTCGATGAGGCACACGCTGAAACCCTAGCAGCCAAAGCAGAGATCCAAGTAGCCAAGGCAGAGACACAAGCAGCCAAGGCGGAAATTAGTGTAGCCAAGGCAGAGACACAAACAGCCAAGGCAGAGACACAAGCAGCAAAGGCGGAAATTCAAGTAGCCAAGGCGGAGACACAAACAGCCAAGGCAGAGACACGAGCAGCCATGGCAGAGACACAAGCAGCCAAGGCGGAGACACAAGCAGCAAAGGCTGAGGCACAAACAGCCAAGGCAGAGACCGAGAGGCTCTGTCTTAAAGTGGCAACAGTGGAGGCGGAGGTGAGGGAGGAGATTGGGAAGAGGGAGCGGCTGCTGGAGGAGACGCAGGAGGAGCTCCGGAAGGTGCAGGAGCTGTGCGCGCGGTGAGTGAGTGTTGGGCGCGGTGAGTGGGTGTTGTGTTCGGTGAGTGGGTGTTGTGTGCGGTGCGTGCTCGTTGTGCACGGTGCGTGGGCGTTGTGCGCAGTGAGTGGGTGTTGTGCGCAATGAGTGGGTGTTGTGCGCAGTGAGTGGGTGTTGTGCGCAGTGAGTGGGTGTTGTGCGCAGTGAGTGGGTGTTGTGCACAGTGAGTGGGTGTTGTGCGCAGTGAGTGGGTGTTGTGCGCAGTGAGTGGGTGTTGTGCGCAGTGAGTGGGTGTTGTGCGCAGTGAGTGGGTGTGTTCTCGACGAGTGGTGAACCTCTCCCGCCACCCCCCCACTTGTCTCCACCCTTTCCCCTTCTCCAGGTTGGAGGAGCAGGTGAAAAACGCATAGCAGGAGAACCAGGTGCTGTTGAGGCAGCAGGCCTTGTCTGCTTTTGAGACGAATCACTGTCTCTCCGTATCTTATCACTCACCCCCCTTCACTTTCCCCCCCTCTTCACCATCCCACCACTTCCAGATTGGAAGAGCAGGTGAAGAACGCGGAGCAGGAGAATCATGTGTCAGCCCTTAGTGAATGCATTTGTGTACGATGGATGGGGTTGTTGTAGTGTGGATGCGTGTGTGTTAGCTCACGGGGCATGTGGAGAAGATTCATAGCATGATCTGGGATGAACTCGAGAAGGAGATTTCGGCCAGTGCATTTAGGTGAGGCTGGGGGTGGTGTGTGTGTTTTGAGACGCCTCAAGTTTTGAGGCGTCTCAAGTTTTGAGGCGTCTGAAGAGACATCTCAAAAGAAGGAGAACTCGCGCCTTCTTTCGCCGTGCATTGAGGTGTGGCTGGGGATGGTGCATGTGTGTGGGGAAGGGAGGGGTATATGAGTGTGTATGTGTGTGGGGAAGGGAGGGGTATATGAGTGTGTATGTGTGTGGGGCAGGGAGGGGTATATGAGTGTGTATGTGTGTGGGGAAGGGAGGGGTATATGAGTGTGTATGTATGTGGGGAAGGGAGGGGTATATGAGTGTGTATGTGTGTGGGGAAGGGAGGGGTATATGAGTGTGTATGTGTGTGGGGAAGGGAGGGGTATATGAGTGTGTATGTGTGTGGGGAAGGGAGGGGTATATGAGTGTGTATGTGTGTGGGGCATGTGTGATTTTTGTCTGTTGGGCGAGTGTGTGTGGTGCACAGTGTGCCACGCGCTGAGCTCGCACTGGTTCAGCAGCATCATCTGCTGCCCCATCCGTGTGCGCCCCATGCCTCTATCTCCCCATCTCTCCTCTCATTTCTCCCACACCCGTCCATGCCCTGCCCCCCATCCCACACTCCATCGCACAACCCACACCCAATCAGGCTCCGTGCATCTCCCGGGCGGCGTACGGCCGGCACTCGTCGCACCGGGGGGTGCCAGTGGCCACAGCCACGCACGCGCTGAGCTTGCACTGGGGCAGCATCATTGCCACGCTCACCACGCTACTCATGACACTCAAAGCGAATGATGTGCCTTCCTTCCTCGTGCGCAAGCTGGTCACTCAGATCTTCTCCTTCATCAACGTGCAGCTCTTCAACAGGTGGGGGGGTTTGTGGTTCGCTTGAGAGGATGCTGGCAACCTTCTTGAGGGGTTTCTAGGCCACTCAGTCTTCCTTCCTCGTGCGCAAGCTGGTCACTCAGATCTTCTCCTTCATCAGCGTGCAGCTGTTCAACAGGTGGGTGGGTGGGTGGGTAGGGGTGTGGGGGGGTTGTTGGATGGGTGGGTGGGTGGGGAGGGGGGGAGTTTGGGTGGGTGGCGCGATTTGAGGCGCCTCAAAGCCTATCTACTCTTTCCATGCCCCGTGTGCTTGTGTTGCCCCTCATCCCCTTCGCTCCCAGCCTTTCCCTCCCCTCGCATCACTCGCACACCTGCAGCCTGCTGCTGCATCGCGAGTGCTGCTCCTTCAGCAACGGTGAGTACGTGGAGGCATGCTAGGGAAAGCTGGACCTTTGGCTAACACACCCTCCTCTCTCCCTCCTCTCGCTCCCGCCTCTCCCTTCTCTCACATCACCTCCCACCAGCCTTCTCCTGCGCCGTGAGTGCTGCTCCTTCAGCAACGGAGAGTACGTGAAAGCAGGCCCGGACGATTTGGACCACTGGCTGCACGAGGCAACCCCTGAATACACCGGAAATGCGTGGGAGGAGATCAAGTATATCCGCCAATCCGTGGGCTTCCTGGTAAGTTCCCTTAATACGAATGGTAGGTATGTATGCATAAGACCTTGTTTCTGCATTCCCCACATCTCGGTCCCCTCCCCCACCTCTCCCATCCCTGCATGCATCCCCCATGACCTGGTCATAATATGCAAAAGTACATACCTTTTCCCACCTTTTCCCACCCTTCCATCCACATTTTCCTCTCCTCCTCTCCCCCTCTTCCGCTCTGCCTTTCCCCCCTTCTCCCCCTCTCCCCTTCCACCGCTCACCCTCTCCCATGCGCCCATGTGTTGAATAGTAGGTGATTCACCAGAAGCCCAAGGAGAGCATGCAGGAGATCACATCGGACCTCTGCCCGGCGCTGAGCACTCAGCAGCTGTACCGAATCAGCACCATGTACTGGGATGATAAGTACGGCACCCACACCGTCTCTCCCTCTTCCCCTCTTCGCCTCTCCCCTTCTCCCCCTCTCCGCCTCTCCCCCTCCCACCGCTCCCCATCTCCCCATGCGCCCATGTCTTGCTCGCCAACAGGCAACTCACAATAAGCAAGAGAAGAGGATGCAGGAGATCACGTCGGACCTCTGCCCGGCGCTGAGCATCCATCAGCTGTACAGAATCAGCAACATGCATCCACACCGTCTCTTCTGAAGTCATTTCGGGGATGCGGCGGTGGATGAGCGACGAGAACAGCGCGTCTGTCAGCAACTCGTTCCTAGTGGATGATGATTCCAGGTGGGTGCAAGGATACGGGAGATGCTTCCATGGAGGTTTGAGGAGGGGGGGAATGCTCGATGCATCTCAGAACCGTTGCCTTGAGAACAGCGCGTCCGTCAGCAACTCGTTCCTATTGGACGATGATTCCAGGTGGGTGCGAGGATACTGGAGATGCTTCCATGGAGGTTTGAGGTGGGGGGGGAATGCTCGATACATCTCAGAACTGTTGCCTTGAGAACAGCGCGTCCGTCAGCAACTCGTTCCTATTGGACAATGATTCCAGGTGGGTGCAAGGATACGGGAGATGCTTCCATGGAGGTTTGAGGAGGGGGGGAATGCTCGATACATCTCGATGATTCCAGGTGGGTGAGAGGAGGGTGGGGGAATGGTTCCAGGTGGGTGCAATGAGGAAGGATAATTCAAGGTGGGTGCGAGGAGGGGAGAAGGATTATAGGTACGAAGAGAGAGTCTCTCTTGCACCCCCCTCTTCCCCCCTCCGCCAACTCGTTCCTGCGAGACGATGATTCCAGGTGGGTGTGAGGAGGTTGGAGGGAGGGGAGAGGGGTTCCAGATGGGTGCAAAGAGGTGGGGAGGACTCCAGGTGGGAGGATTTTCCTGAAGGGCACAACCATTGCATCCAAATGTGCTGTCAGTGGGTAATGTCTGGCACAATCACAGATTCATATAACTGGCATGTCTTTGCTTGTGTGTGTCATGCCCATCTGAAGTCAGCCGTACTTATGAATTCAGTGCACAACATTTTCATTTTTGAGACATCGCAAAACGAGACGATGATTCCAGGTGAACAGCAACGTCTCAAAACGAGACGATGATTCCAGGTGAACAGCAACGTCTTAAAATTAGTGAAGTGAAGTCGGCACAATCCAGCATTCTCATCTCCTCCCGATCCAGCATTCCATTCTCCGAGGAGGACATATCAAAGAGCACCCACAAGGTTAATTTTGAGGCACCTCAAAAGTCGTCTCACTTTTTTAGGCGCCTCAAAATTCAAATCCAGCATTCCATTCTCCGAGTAGGACATATCAGAGAGCACCCACATGATTAGCCATCCTGCTCTCTCACGCGTCTCCCTTGTAACCTAACCCCCTTCTCTTTCTTCCCCCCTTTCTCCCTACTCAATCCAGCATGCCCTGCTCCGTGGAGGGCATTTCAAAGAGCACCCACGAGACTGACCCCCCATGCCAACGTATACCCCTCCCCCTCTTCCCCCTCTCTCTCCCCACCCCAGCATCCCCTTCTCTTTTGAGGATATACCAAAGAGCATTCACGAGATTGACCTGCCGCTTCTTCATGTCCTCCTTCCCTCTCCCCCGCCCCCTGCCAACTCCCCCTGCTGCCTGCCCTCTCCTCTCCAGCATCCCGTTTTCTGTGGAGGACATATCAAAGAGCACCCACGAGATTGGCCTCCCCTCTCCTGCCCCCCCCCCCCCCCTCCCCTTGTGTTTCGTCTTTTCCGCTGTTTTTCCCCCACTCCATTCCCCCTTGCCCTCTCCAGCATCCCCTTTTCCGTGGAGGATATATCAAAGAGCACCCACAAGACAGACCTGCGGTCACTGCAGCTGCCACCAGCCATTCGCGACAACAGCACTTTCCAGTTCCTCCTCACACCCTAGCCTTGAGTACCGTAAGCCCCCGGATATAAGCGCAGGCCTCGGATAAGCGCCGGCGCTTATAAAAGGATGACGGCGCTTATATCCGGTCCTCGATTATAAGCCCACCCCTGAAGGCTTACGGATTATAAGCGCCACCCTCTGTTTGTTTTTGCTATAATTGTACTGAAATCATTGTAATGAAACTCACATTTTCCATTCCCACGTTTTTTAATTTCGATGCCCTTCACCTCGCTCGGCTCATTGCCTGTGCGTCCAGTCAGAATGAGCTGTCGGCAGCGTAAGTTGACTCATTCTGACTGTGTGTGTTGGCAGGGAATCATTCCCTGCCAACTGGCGCGAGATTCTCAATTCCAGCCCTGTATAGTTTCGACTCGATTCAAATTCCAGAACGTGATCTACAATTTGGTGTAAGAAATACGCATTTCATAAATGTCATTATATAAGCGCCGGCGCTTAAAAAAATCCTCGATTAAAAGCGCACCCCCTAAAAAACATTGTTTTTTTATACCCCCAGGGGCGCTTCTATCCGGGGGCTGACGGTAGTCCTTGTATTGATGATTGACAAACATGCAAGATTGAGCGTGCAGCCCTAAACTATAGCCTCCTTTCCTCCAAGCTTGTTGCAATCTCTTCTCACTCACTAGGCTCGTTTTATTGGACTAATGCACTTGCTTTCATTGCCTCGTCCCCACTATTCAAGCATGATCACTTACCTTCCTTAGCCACTCACGAATAGTCACACACTCGCTCTCACATCCTCCTCCTATCGGCCCTTACCAGCAGCACCCACTGCTCTGGGCCTATTCGGGCGTATCTCACTTCGGGTCATAAGGCCACTTTGGGGCATCACTGTACACTTCGGGTCATGGGATGACCAATGGTATTCGATTAGTGTATCTGAAATGCGCCTGATAGGTCTTCCAAGAATGTCGGATGACTCAAACAGTGCATGACCCGAACCAAAGATACGCCCTTAGTCAGATGTTGCAGCAGCCCATTTCTTATGTGGTTGAAGCCTTTTTTATCAGTTTCTGCAGGTAGTGCCAGCATATTCAGCTCGGCAGATGTTGTAGCAGTGGCAGCAGCAGTGCGAGGGGAGTGGCAAGGGAGGCACCATTACCACCACATGAAGAACTCTCTCGTTCTGCATGGCAAGTGTGGTGATAGATGCAGTGAGTTTGATAGGGCTTGGCATATGTTTTAGAAGTGAATTGCTGCATGTTACCGTAATTCCATGCATAAAACACCCTAGGCTGTATTGATAGTGACGTGCAAGTGACAGCAGAATGAGTAGTGGTAAGATTGAAATTAGGTTGACTAAAATAAGAAGCACATATGCACTCATCATCCTCCTAAGGCGTGTTTCAAGACTGATCGCTGTTCTCGTGATAAGCGAACTCGCTTTTCTGACACCAAGCCAGATCGTGATGGTGACGGATTTCACGCAACGGTTTGAAATGTTTATTTCACCTGCCCTTCATTTCTGGTCCCGACTCATCCGCAGGCACTTGATGCACTTTTGGCAAGAAGATTCCTTCTCTTTAGCCCTGTCGCCAGGCGCGGTTGTTTCCAGCGCTGATTTTCTTTGAGCTGCGCTGCGGCTGTCAAACCACCAACTGGCTTGCATTGAGCTCTGGCGAAAACAAACACCACGCCCGACCACATGCGATATTGTTGAGTCGCCTCGAGGAGCCGCGTCCCATTCGTCCCGCCAGAAACGGAAACGAGACGTCAGCACTGCAACCCTTCACGAAAACCAAACCGAAGGAGCTTTGAGATCGCCATCGTCGCGTGAGGATCGTCGCCCAATCCTCATCCCGCATTCATTGTCGCGCACTGATTCAGTGCGCAAAAATCGTTGCGCCTGAAATCGAAATGAAACGAAGCACCAAGCCCTGAATTCTCGGCTATGCTGCCCGTTTTCGAAATGCCATCCGTCAGAGACGCACACATCACGCTCTGCCTCATCCACACCAGCGAAAATCCCTCCCAGCCTGCCCTCCATCCATCCAAACAACCATCCGTGCCTTTCTCCCCCCACAACCAGGCCAAGTCGTGCCCTGTCGTAAAACCGAGCCGCCATCGTGCAGCACAGCACACTAGCTCGCTCCCCCAGCCGTTGCGCCTCTCCTTCTCACCCCTATCCCCTGCCTTTTTATAATCCTCAATTCCTCAATTCCAATCAAGCATTCCTGCTCCACCTAGCTCCAGTCTCTCATTAGGCAACCCGTCAAGCAATCGTGTTTGAAATCTATCCCCTACTCTCCACGGGACGCCAGAATCGCAATGGCTCCCAACGCGTGTAGCGCCAGTCCCACCTTCGGCCCCATGCCTGTAATCTCCACCGCGGAGCTCAAGCAGGCTCCCGCCACCACTCTCCCTACCGTGCCTGAGCCCGCCGTTGCTCCCGCCGATCCGCCCGCCCTTGCACCCGCCGCTTCCACCCCCGCTGATGCAACCCCGGCCGAGCCCGCCGCTGCTCTCGCGGAGCCCGTGCAACATCCGTCCGCGGAGGAAATGGCGCAAGGGCCGGTCATGGAGTCCACCGACTTCACTTTCTTGGGAATGCCGCTCCAGCAGCTTAAGATGATTTACCATCACGCCGTGACTCAGTCCGCGCGGCTCGCGCTGCCGCTTCTGGCGGCCGTCGCGGTCCAGCTCACGCGCAACGTGGATTTCCAGGCGCTTTGGGAGCAGCTCCTCACTCTCGACACCTCCTACCTCGTCGCCGCGTTCTCCGCCGCGCTCTTCGCCGTCACGGTCTACGTGCTGACCCGCCCGCGCCGCGTGTTCCTCGTCGACTTCGCGTGCTACCGCCCGCCTGATCACCTCGTCATTACCAAGGACGTGGCCGTCGATCGCGTCAAGAAGCTCGGCTACTTCGACGAGAAATCCGTCGATTTCCAGACCAAGGTGTTTTTCCGGTCGGGGCTCGGCGACAGGACGTACGTGCCGCCGTCCATGCTCACGTGGCCGCCTTCCCCGTCGATCGCGAACGCGCGAATTGAGGCGGAGATGGTTATGTTCGGCGCGCTCGACGAGCTGTTCGCCAAGACTGGCGTGAGCCCCCAGGACATTTCGATTCTGATCGTCAACTGCACGGTTTTCTGCCCGACTCCGTCGCTCTCGGCGATGGTGATTAACCACTACAAGATGCGCGAGGACATCCAGTCGTACAATCTGGGCGGCATGGGGTGCAGCGCGAGCATCATCGCCGTCAAAATGGCTCAAGATCTGATGCAGGGCCAGGCGAACAAGCTCGCGGTGATTGTATCCACCGAGAACATTACCCTGAACGCGTACCTCGGTAACCGTCGCTCGATGCAGGTTACCAACGTTCTGTTTCGCATGGGCGGAGCCGCGGCGCTGATTTCGAACAAGCCGCGCGACGCGTGGAGGGCGAAGTACGAGCTGAAGAACGTTGTGCGAACCCACTTGGGAGCTGACGACAAGGCTTACCAGTGCATTCACCAGAAGGAGGACGAGAAGAAAATCGTCGGCGTGATGCTATCGCGCGAGCTTATGAGTACCGCCGCGAAGGCTCTTAAGGCCAACGTGAGATCTCTCGGCCCGCTCGTGCTGCCGCTTTCCGAGAAGCTGCTCTTCGCCGCGGCGTACATCGCGCGGCGCGTGTTTAAGATGGATATTAAGGAGTACACCCCCGACTTCAAGCTCGCGTTCGAGCATTTCTGCATCCACCCCGGAGGACGCGCGCTGCTCGATGAGGTTCAGAAGGGTCTCCGTCTCACCCAGGGCAACATGGAACCGAACCGTATGACGCTGTACCGCTTCGGAAACCTCTCGTCCGCGTCGATCTGGTACGAGCTGTCGTACGTCGAGGCGCATGATCGCGTGAAGCGCGGCGATCGCGTGTGGCAGCTGGCGTTCGGGAGCGGGTTCAAGTGCCAAAGCGCCGTGTGGAAGGCGCTGCGCACCGTGCCCGGCGCGAAGAACCCCGGCCCGTGGGCGGAGGCTGACGGCTACGTTCCCCCTCCCCCGGTCGAGGCTCTCGAGATGGATCCCGAGCCCCACCACTAGTTCCACAAGGTAAATTACCCATAAAGCTGCTCCCTGTTGTCTCTGTGCTGCGACTTGTTCGGTTCATTCTCTCTTCTTGCTTTGGTGCGCTGCTGACCCTTAGCATTCCTCCCTTTTCCTCGATCTTCTTGTTTCAGGGTCCCTCGCGCTTGGTCTGCTGCTAGCCCAACGGCGAGATCTATCAGTAACACATACTTTACACACATACACACACGACCTAACAAGGCCCTGCTGATAGGGCTGATGACGGAGTAGGGACAAGCAGGGAGCTTGGGGAGATTCCAGTGCTTGATCCATAGGTTAGCTGCTAGCCTTCCTGCTATTGTAGTTCAACATGATGATTACTGCTCTAGGCAGCGTAGATTAGCTCTTCCATTGTAGACCATTTGTCCATTTCTTTTATACAACCTGAATATTTCATCACTACTTTAAGTTGCCTGCCTGCTGCTGCTTGGCAATCATCACCGAACCACCTACTTCATACCAAGGTTCCTCACCTGAACCCTAAACTTCGATCCTTCTGCCCCTATTCTCCTCCATTGCTCTCCTGTAACGCTCGCTTGACATTGCAAGCGTCTCCTTGCCTTCATTTCGTGCCTTTTGTCGTAAAGCGATTGGTGTTCGCTGCCTCCGTGATTGTACTGGTATGTCCCGTCCCCTGTGCGATGCTTCCCCTGTACACCTCTGTGTGTACAGTCATACAGGTAGATACGTAGAACTACTCCGGCCTACCCCTGTCCAATGCTTCATCTATGCAATATCCCCCCTGTGCAACTCTCTACCGCCTCCCCTGTCCTCTCGGTCGTAGGACAACTCGTGTTTGCTCATTGTCCCCCCTGTGCCTTCGGTCGTAAAACTAGTCTGGCCTGCTCAGTGCCTCCCCTGTACATCGCTTCGCCCATGCGATACTCACCCTGCGCAAGTTTCTGCGCTGCCTTGCGTGGGCATTGCTTCCCCTGTGGACTCAGTCGTAGGACAACTCGGTCCTTATCATTCCCCTACCTGTGCCTTCGATTGCAGTATTAGTCCGTCTACCAATTGCCTCCCCCGTGCAATGCTTCGCCTGTTTGACGCCCCCCCTGTACAACTCTCTGTATTGCCTCCCCTTTTGCTCTTGGTCATGGAGGCAAATAGGGTTGGGTTTCCACATTGCCCTGCTTGTCCCTTGCCATTGAACGATCCATATCTGTCGATTGCGCCCCCCAAAGCTCTTGGGCACAGAGCAAGTGAGATGTGTTCACAACAGCTTCACTTGTCCTCCTGCACCAGGAGAAGATCTCCTGCCAGGGCGCAGATGCCATGCCTAAAATGCGCTGACCAACTTATGAACTGTCTGCTGCAGGGACAACTTAACAAACTGTTCCATCACAGTGGGTATTTGATTGGAGGATAAAATAAAACATTTGCACTGTACAATAATGCATCTAGCACTTGTGCTCAGATCCATCCGAGAGCACTTGCAGCCCCCCTGTCTCTACATTCCGCCAGAAGCAAGCCTTTTGGTTGCTACCTCGAACACTTAGGGTCTGGGACCCTCCCACCACGACCAAATTAGGTGTAGAGAACGGCCCTACTACCACACCAGTGGCGTCAGCACCATCATTCACATCCACGCCATTTGCAGCAGCGCTTGCTGCAGTGCTAGAGTTGTTAGTGGCACTCAGCCCGCTGCTAGTTAGCGGGCTGGAGGTAGCGGTGCTATCAGCGTTTGATCCCATACTCAAGCAGGTTGCATGTCTGGGAGTTGACGAGAGATTCTTGAGTGGATTTCGTGAGGCTGTTGCCGTCCTTATGAAGGTGCTGCTGCTGAAAGCTGTGGGAGAGCGAGAGCTTGAAGGAAGTACTCCCATCTGTGGGAGAACACATCGGGGATTGCAAGAAAACAAGAGGGTGGAGGGCAGGAAGTTTAGGCACATGCTGCTAGATTTCGTGAGGCTGTTGCCATCCTTGTGAAGGCGCTGCTGCTGGAAGATTTGGGAGAGTGAGAGCTTGAAAGAGGTACCTCCATCTGAATGGGAGAACACATTGGGGATTGAAAGGAGAACGAGGGGGTGGAGAGCAGGAAGATTAGGCATCTGCTGCTAGATTTCGTGAGGTTATTGCCGTCTTTGTGAAGGTGCTAAGCTGTGGGAGAGAGAGAGATTGAAAGAGGTACCTCCGTTTGAATGGGAGAACACATCGGGAAATGCAAGGCGAAGGAGGAGGGGAGGAGGAAAGTGGGGGATTGCGGGATTAGACGCCATTTTAAAGATTTAATGAGGCTGTTATTTCTTACAGAGCAGCTGCTGCGGGAAGCCGCAGGAGAGAGGCCGATTGAAGGTGGTGGTACCTCTGTATCCAATCTGCTGAGATTGGGAGTTGCTGCTGTAGCCAATCTCCCTTGCACTTTCACGATTTCAGACCCTGGACGAGGCAGAACGCAGTGCAAGCAGACCCTTGGAACAGCCTGGCACATCTGCGTCAATCTTGCACCGCCTTGCACCTTAGCGATTAAAAAAAACCACCACTTTAAGTGTCAATATCTCACCTTGATCTGAAAACACTGTCTGGGTGATGGTCAACGGGAAATGACGCGTCACTGTATCCTTTGCAATCAGCATTCCGCTCAGCCTGCCCCTCCTTGTTGTCACATTCGCGACAACATTGTACTCCGTCTTGAGAAATTTCAGCTGCCCGAGCACCTCAGTGCGGCTCTGAAGCACATGGTAGGCTTTCACCAGGCTGGCAACCACCCCACGAGAAGTGAGGATTCGCCCACCAATGGTGTAACGCCGCATGGCAGTAGCCTCCAAGGTTCCGTCTATGCCAGTGTAGATGTTGGGCGGTGGCTCGTAGTACTGTAGTGCTGGGACCTAATCAACCAACAAGCAAAAAGAAAGAAAGAAAGAAAGAAAGAAAGAAAGAACGAACGAAAAGAACGAATTGAGGAACATTGAACCAGATGAATATGTTTAAAGATTACAATGGGCAGGTCATAGGAGGAGTGAAACTGCACACATGCTGAAAGGAGAGGACGCTTTACACAGGAAGCCAACGCAAAACGAAGGTGGTGATGCATTCACAGTGATGTGCAAGCAAAGTTGCTGGCTGGCTCTTATGTGAACAAACAAGTAACCTTTGATCGGTTTCAAGTAAGCACATAGATTCAGGTTCTGAGTTGTGAAGTCGACTCACATCAAAGACAGTGATTTTCGCTGAAGTCTTCAGCAGAATTGGGTCCAGCCATAAGCGGAACACCCCACTTGCCAGCCACACCCCTCCGGGCAGCACACCAGAAACCGCTACAGTAACATTGTGCTTCTTCCCGTCCGCAAGCAGTCCCACAAACGGGGTCACGTCTAACGAGTATGGCTCCAACGCAAAGCACCCGATCCCCACCACGGGGGTCCAGATGGAGCGGCGGAGGGAGGAGGGAGAGAGCACGGGGAAGGGGAAGAAAGATCCTGCGAATCTTCCATCTATGTAGACGACTATCTCGCGGTACGGGCTTCCAGGGACGAAGTTCGCCTTGAGAGAGTCAGGAAGGGCGGAGTGGTAACTGCAATGGCGAAGAGAGGAACAACAGAAAGAGACAGCAATAGACGTGGGGGCCGGTGTCGCGTGAGGGTGGAGTCATATGTTATTTTGTTTGGTTTCTTTCCTTTTTTAGTTTGTTTCTCTAATTCAGCATTTTTATTTTTAGTGACGAATCCTCCACCTTGCCCTTTTCCCCACAGCACCATCCCTTCAATACCCAGTTCCTCCAGTCTCACCTCAGCCAGTCTCACCTCCCAAGAGTCACGCTTCCCCAGAGCCTCGATTCTCCACATTCTCACCTCTCCAGAGTTTCTCACCTCTCTCCAGTCTCATCTACCCAGTCTCACCTCCCCCAGTCTCACCTCTCCAGCATGTTACTGAAGTACGCCCTGTCATCACCATGTGCTGTCAGCGTCAGATCCAGCTCAGCACGGACCAAATTCCTCGGGAAATTCGACACCATGACCGACGCTGACGCCAGGCTGAAGGACGAGCCGCCACCTGGCGACTGCTGACTGGTCCCCAGGATTCCCCTTGCGTCTTTCCCGGAGAGGATAAGGGGCCGGCCACGTGTCTTGGAGGAGGAAAGAGGGAGCAGGCTGTGAGGCACGTGTGGGGAGAGCAGTCCTCCATAGTAAGACACCTCGAGATCTACATAAAAGATGCCGGTGTTCACCTCATCTAAGGCGTTTTCCATGGTGATGTAGAATCGACCTTTCTGCAGGAGATGCAGAGAGGACATACAGGAATGGAAAACAAGGAGAAATCCTGCAGACATATGAGAGATGATAGTACTTTAAAGAATCCTTGAAGGACAATAAAGATGCAGGAATGAGAAATCTCCTCAGCAAGAAGCAAAAGATACAGTGCATTTGAACGTACCCTGCGTAAGACTTTAGAAAACTTGGTTAGGTCCCTCTCGAGAGCAAAACGCACGCCATTGGCCGAACCAGGCGTGGTTCTGAGAGATCATGTCAGGGCGGTTGGGACGAGGGGAGGAGAGATAGGGGAACATTGACTGAGAAGCAGTAGCGCACACCGATGATTGAGGAATGAAGAATCGAGGAAGGAAGGTGTGGGAAAACCCTATTGTTTTCGTAACCAGTGTCTTATCAGCAAGTATTTCAATGTGTGGATGCCGGAGAAAGAGGGCGTACAGAGATCTAGAGAGCTCGAATCCATTGAAGAAGATCGACAGAACTCTTCCTTGTTGTATCCCCTTCACTCGCACGCCAACGCTGAGAACCACTTGCTTCCAGGCCTGAACCAGCGATCAAGACAGGCACATGAAGAAGGAACCATGATGCAGGGAACGCGAAGGGAACATGAAGGGAACATGGTGAAGGGATCATGGATACAGTTGAAAGAAGGAACATGAAGAACGGCCAATGAAGTAGGAGACGTGAAGGAGACATGGACACGGAAGCTCTCTGGAACGTGTTGAAAGTTGTCTCAATGGCAGGGGTGCGTGGGGCTTCAGAACTGAAGTACGTTCGCAGCAGCACGGCGGCAACCTTTATGCCCCAAACAGCACCGGCAGAACTTAGAACACGTACCAGTCAGTAGTACCTTGTTAAACAATGCCAGGCGTGACCCAGAACACATACCAAGCCGCACCCAGCAGGAGGTGTGTAGGCAACTTGGATCGTGGGCTGGTTGGAGGTGTTCGCGAACGCGGCGTCTCGCAGGAGAATGAGACGACATGGTGCTACAATCTTCGGCTTCTTGATCGGAATTGTGACTTCGCTAACCGTCGTATACCCGCTATAACGCTTTTCCGCCAGAGCCCTTGCTCGGCGTCCTCGTGGTGCTGTTGGCTTTCGTAGCCTTGACCTTGCACCTGCTCCCTCGGCATCTTTTCCCGTTCCGTTGGCGGTTTTCGACGGTTTCGCTGCTCTATTCTGCTCCGTGTCACGAGAATAAAGTCTACCGTGTCTATGAGAAAGCCTACACAAGGGAGTTTCAATTGTTCCTGACGAATCAGACCTAACCAACGTCCCTGAGGAATCAAGGGATATGTTTGAAATCCGTCGCCGTAAGTTTCTCGTAACATCATGTTTTTGCGGTACAACTGATATATCTGAGGGCCAGATCGCCGCCGAACACCAAGATACGCATTGGAAGCAAAGCGGAACTATCAGCAGAAGAAGGATGGTGAAGGAGAGTGGGAAAGAGCGCGAGGAGGAAGTTAATCTGACGCTTGGCATTTGCACCCAAGAATCAACTTCTGAGAGGTCTGAAAGCTTGGCACTTGCATTCCAGAACTACTATCATGTCGACTTGTAACTATCAAAACGACTCTCTTGAATCAAACCGGATAAATCATTCACGAGTCCTTCTGTAAATGTGAAGTTCCTACATATATTTAGCAGTGGGGAATAGTTTTGCCAGACGGATACTAGTGGATACTAGTTATGCTACAAAAGGTCCAATCGTCCTCATCAGTTCAGAGATGACGGCTGCACCGACAAGCACTATTCCCGGATCACGAGCATAAAAACAGGCTTCGTTGATGCAACCGAGGCAGAATTACTCATTTTATCAGTCCTCCCTAGCGCCTAACTACCCAGATTTCCCCTGCCACAATCTTCAACTTTCTAGGCGACAATTTCGTTGCTTTAGGCTGGTCGGCATGGGGAATACTTTCGGCGGGAAAGTCAAATTTAATGTGGTGGAGGGCGGTGCGGTTAGGAAAGCGCTTCGGCCAAATCTGGCTGACACGTCGATTTTCTTATATGGTCTTCCTCGGTAAGAAAGTTCGTCCAGAAAGAACCTTCAGATCCATACACTCTTGTGGCACATTCTTACTAATTGTGACAGACTGATTTGGTTGGTAGTGATTTTGCGACGCCCAATTTGACGATGGTCAGCCACCAAAGCACACTCGTCCCCTCAACTGCCCGCTCGCGTCCCTTCCTGTGCTTCTTGGGCCTCCCGAGCCTGTAGTGCCGTGCCTTCTGTCCCTCCCATGCCTCCCGTAGCTCCCCTCCCTCGTCTCGTCTCCCTCATCCTCCACACCTTGCCCTTCTCCCCTCTTCCTGCTCTGTCCCCTTGACTCACCTCCCTACTGCTGAAGAGCCCCCTCCCTCTCAGTTTCTTCCTTTCTCTTCCCTTACCCTAATTTCTCCATTAGTGGAGGTCCTCCCCTCACTCAGCCGTTACTTCGTAGCGTGTCAAGATGGTAAGAATCGCACAGTATTTAGTATTTTAGAAGAATTCGGGACTTCGGCGCGCATCATAACCACGGGGTTTCAGTTGATTTCGGTTTAGGCGCAAGCCAGCTCAATTTAGGGTTCCGTCCCTTTTCCTCAACCTTACCTAGAACCCCCTCACGTGGCTGTATGCATTCCGTCTGCTCCGTAGCGCCCTCACATAGTCCCCGTTTTCCTTCGCGTTTCTTCTGTGTTTTTTTTTTTCTTTTCATTTTTTTTTTATCGTTCCTCTTTCGCCGTCCCTTTCCTCGTCTGTTACTTTGTTGTCGTCCCTCTCGTCGTCCCTTCCTGCCGCACCCACCAGGGTCGCGTCCGCACAAAGACGGTGAAGCGTTCGGCGCGACTGATCATCGAGAAGTACTACTCGCGCATGACGCTCGACTTCCAGACGAACAAGAAGATCTGTGATGAGGTGGCAGTCATCCCCACGAAGCGCCTCCGCAACAAGATCGCCGGCTTCGCGACGCACCTGATGAAGCGTATTCAGAAGGGCCCCGTGCGCGGCATCTCGCTGAAGCTGCAGGAGGAGGAGAGGGAACGGCGCATGGACTTCGTCCCTGATGAGTCTGCCATCAAGACGGACGTCATTGAGGTGAGTGGGCGCTCAGGCAGGCAAGCACCAGCTTGAGGCCTTGAAAATGCGAGAATGGCATCCAGTCACCCAGCCAGTCAGCGCACCCAAGCAGCTGGATAGGCAGGCGGTCTGGCAGGCGCGCTTGTTGGCGTGCAACAATCAGTTGGGGGCATGCAACCAGATAGGCAGGCATTCAAGCAAACAGACAGGCATGCTACTGATTTAGGTGTCAGCGGCAGGGGAACAGCAACGTTCGTTAGCAGCCGGGCGACTCCTATGGCTGCTGCTAAACGAGTAGCGTTACTAAGCTGGATGGGCCGTCCATTCGTAGATGCGGACGTTAATTGAAGCAGATCGACGATAAGGTGTTCTGAACAGGGTTAGGTCTCTCGGACTCGGTTTAACGGGGTTCGGCGTTCATCCTGAATCGTGGAGAGCCACTGTAGCCAGTTTTTTTGTTGAACCTGACATGTTTAGCTCCGTTTGGCGACACTATCCGTCGTCGAGCCGATCAACCCAACGCAGGTTTTGAAGAGACCTAAGAATTATGCGCACTTGCTGTGGGCGCTGGCGCAGAAGGCTTAAGCGGACTTCGGAATCCCGCGTTTCCGAAGTAGCAGCTGAGTTTGATGATACGCCGTCGTCGTTGAGGCCATTAGAGTACATTCCGTCCTCGTGTCAAGGCACGCGGTGTTGAAGCCTTTTGTCAGATCGTTTCACGATAGTTCAGCCGCGACGTTGTCAGACGCGAGCGCTCTTCCTTTTTAGTTATAGATTGTCTAAGGGGGTTCAAATGGCTTAGATCAGTGGAGCTCCCGCAGATGCTGACTTCGGTCGGGTGTTGACGCTCTCTTCGAGTATTTCGGCAGCTTTGGGAATGAGTGGAGTGGCGGGTCAATGCAGCTCCATGAAGTGATTTTTTTTAGCAGCTGATCCATTCGGGAATGAGTACGGGTTTTCGTCGTCAGAACGTGACTCAGGAGCGATCAATAGTTTCCATACGCAGTTCGGACTACGGAGTATCGTAGCCAGGCGGATGAAATATGGATAGTTCAGATCGTTTAGCTGATTGAATTCGAGGGCCTATCACTGCAATTCTCGGGTCGTGAAAAGGGAGTTCTACTTCTTTCCAATTAATGCAGGGAAGCTAGCTGAGAATTCTTGTACATGCGTTCCCCGTCATGATGCTCTCAGGTTGACCCTGTTACCCTGGACATGCTCAAGGCCATCAACATGGCTACCCTTCCTGGTGTCACTCTGGTTCAGCCTGTGAGTGTCACAAAGCCTCATACTGTAATCTCTCCTTTGCAATCTTGCCTAAGAACGCCCATTTTAAGCAGCTGTCAATCTAAATTCCTCTCATTCCTATTGCTGTATCTAGACTGTTGCTGCCGTCTGTAATTTCGTTGTTCTCCGGGCTGACCATTCTACTTGCACTGCATCTGGTTCTCTTTTTTTTTTTTGCAGCAAACTGGTGGTGGTGGCCCTGTTGGAGGCTATGGCGGAAGGTCGTAAATGCATATTTCAGGCCGACACATTGTTCAAATACACATCAAAAGCAGGGTCCGCAGGTGGCCTTGATGTATCACAGGATCAGCAGCTAGTCAACGCCATGGAGATTTTGTACAGCAGGAACTGCTGATCAGTCGATTCTTGTTAAATGTTCCTGCTTGGCTAAAAGAGCTGTTGTTTCTGGATAAAAGGAAGGAGTTCTGTACGAATAGGTGTATTGGTATGCTTAGAAAGTGTTCTGATGGGTGAACGAATAGTTTTCTACGAAGGCAATCTCGTTACGGAGCTCTTCCCAAAGCACATGGTTTCTGCACTTATCGAGTACGTTGCAAGAAATCACGGGTGAAAATGAACCCTCACGCATAAATGCCGCACCATTCCAGCTGTCATTCGACACCA